GGCTTTCTAACTATGAAAAAAGAGCTGATGCAAATTCATCCAAACTAGTCGTTAACTTTCCCACGGGAAAGATGTTGGTACTCTGAGTAAAATTGACATCTAAATGTTCAGAACATAATGTTATACAATATGTCATTTGATAGATGAAAACCTTGACTTTCTATTGGTTATACATAATGAAACGTAAGAGAGAACTATCAACGAATTCTGGAAGAGAGAATGTGACAAGTGGGTGTGGCAGGAGGGGTCTGATTTTTTTATTCGATAGCTCTGTAACCAAACAAAATTGAAGGCTATAAAAATTATAGTTTGTCTGAGCAATGACGATTTTATAGAGAGTAATATTACATTTAATTTTGTACTTTTTTAAGGGGTGGTGGATAAAATAGGAATGATGACATGTTAAGAGAAAATATATCACGTGGATCACACTAGTGGAAATTCAGGCTTTTTTAAATATTGCCTTGTAGAATTAAGAACTTAAAACTTGTATACTATTAAAATATGGATTATTAGCTAAGATGTTATGATATTCTAATTGGTATAACATAAAAAAAAAGCAGTTTAATAAAATTTTGAATGTAAGACATTAAAACCTTGTGTCATGCACAGTAAAGGATACCCATGGTGATAGGGTTAATAAGTAAAAATATATTTTGCATAACTTATACCATTTTAATTGCTCCCATAGTGTATAAATAGCTCAGAAAGATCTTCATATATTTATAAAATAACAATTAATTTGTGTTGCATTCTTGCACACTGACATAACTACTTATTAAAAATATGCAAATAAATAAACAAGAGCTGATACATGTGTCTTCTACAAAAACTTACAAATCTTGTTGAAGTTTTCTCATTCTTGACCTAGCATCAGCCAACTCTACAACCAACTGAGACTTCTCCGAACTCAACAAGGGTGTTTGGTTGGTCACACTAGCTATAGAGTTGATAGGATCACTTAACTGTGACTCTTGTTCCATGACTACATTCACTAATTTCTTTTTAGGAGAAATCAAAACAGAATTATGAGAAAAATACAGGAGATTAATCAACTAAAGAAAAAAAAAATCTAATGATGTAGTTTGAATTCAACTTTGAATCTTTAGATTTTTGTATATTGTTTTTGTTAATTAAAAGTTTTTACTTTGGTGTTACAACAAAGCTATACACTGACAAAATAACTAATATCAAGGTACATTTCACACATTAAGTAAAAAAGGTAAACTATCAGTCACAAATCATACACAACTATGTATTAAATATAACAAGTTTGCTACAAAAAGTAGAGAGCATTCTTTTATATATTAATATGTCTGACTGTGTACATTTTTTAGTGAAATAATAGCATTTAATATCTGGATCAACATCTCATTACTTCATTTAATAAAATATGTCATTTATTAACTTCTCATATACTTTGAACCTAAAAATTATAAAACTTCCATGATACAAATATGAGAAGTCCTCACATCATTTTCTTAACACTTTCCAGCCTGGTGGTCAGTCCTTACTCTCTACCTGTTTATATTCAAGTACAATCTCATCTGCTTTAATTAAAAAAAAAAGACAGAGAGAACAAGGAAAGTTACACATAATTCTTTTACATGGGCCTACATGCCCTTACGATAGATTGTAGACTGTAATTTTCCCACAATGGCCAACAAAGCTTAGTGTTCCCTAGGCCTACTTTAAGTTCAAACTAGGCATATGCTAAGTCTGGACTCTAGAATAAAGACTAAACAAGGGTAGTGAATCATGGTAATAAGTTAACTAGGAATGTTTATGATATGGAATATATGTATACTGAAAAATAAACAGGGAAAGCACAATAAAAATGTGGGAAAGAAAGAAAAGGTAGAAAATTAAAACCTAAATCTTTTATAAAGGAGTACATGGTTTTTATAGCTTTAATAATATGTACTAATTTATCATATAATTAGATAACTGATTTAATTACACTGGTACCAACTACTGAGCTATGTATAAGTAAAACGTGTCATATGTTTAGTTTAGGTACTTTGTAGGATTACCAATTATGTAAGTTTCATATATGCTATTACATTTCAATTTCAAGTACAGAATTACTTCATTTTGTTACACACAGTATTACCATGCATTCAGTTACGGGCATAAGAACAGCTTTATTATGTGTTAGTTATAGATCTACTGTTTAGCTTGAGTTTAGTTCTAGTTCATGCACAATGCATTAATTCAGAGACAGGAAATAATCTACTGCTAATATCAGTCACAGTGTTAAACCACCTGGAGCCTTGTTGTGTGCAATATAAGGGTGGATAAATATCTGAAATCACAAGTTATATAACTTAGATCTGCAAATTGTAGCAGATAATGTCACACATACTGAGTAGGTTGACAGATGTTCAAGTGTAGAGTATACTTTGTCACTGTTACTAGAGGGTGAAGTAGCATGGAGATGCCTAGTAACCAATTATAAGCAGAGTTGAGCAGTACAAGGTTCTGCATAAGAAAGGCTTCTCAAAAGTTCAAGGATATCTTTATACACTATAGATCAGTATACATCCAACTCAAAAATGGCAGTCCCATTCTAATAGGCAACTGGCCTGTCATCTTCTGCTTGCCTTGTTAGGATGGAGAGGCTAAAAACAGTTCTAAACAGCAAATGGTTAATGTATTACCTACAAACAATAATAAATTAAATAAATAGCATTCAGATGGGTGCTGTGGAAGCAACATAGCTCATGCAATCAGCAGGAGACCATGACTGACAAGAAGGAGAAAAAAAAAGAGAAAAATGGAAACCAGGGCCTACACACTGAGCTGAAAAATGGAACATTCTTAAAGAGATCACCTAACTCCAAAAGTCCCACATTATAACAAGTTACGGCAATGTCACAGGGATCATGGAAGCTCTTAATTTTATGACATCATAAATTTTGAAGCAGTTAAACTTTCAGACCCTGAGGAGTTCAATCTCACTAGCCTTAACTTCATACTACATACTGACCCAGAGGAGAGGATGGCTAACAACACATTCGGCACAACAACGACATTCGCTAAGAACATTATAACAGCTCTCAGTGGAACATTCACCACTGCAAGCTGTAATCCATCCAGATATTTCACCTCAATTTACCTAAACAAATTTAAGTCATCAATATATACATAAAAAGCAACAGAGTACATGATGCTGAAGAATGAAGGTTTTGGCTTAACCTATCTGACAACACTTCTATGTATCTAGTGGTAGGAGACTTCAATGCCAGACACCCTACATGTGATTCAGGTCAAAACAACAACAACAGCAATTGTTTACATTCTTATCTCCACAGTATAGTCACTAACCTTATGCTCCTAAATTCAGGTGAACCAACAGGAATTGCTGAGCACACCAAGATGACAGATATTCTTGTGCAGACCATGCTTTTACTAACTCCACCTGAAATAGGGGACAAGTTGTCAGCAGTGATCACCATGTGTAAGGTTCATGTGAAAACTGCATTGCATAGTGATATAAAACAATTTCAAAAACCCATACAAGGATGTTAAGCACTCATATCCTCAAGCACCTCTCCACCATCAATCGAAGTAAAGGCAACAACTTCTGCAAAAGGAACACTCCGTACTGGTGGAACAGTGAGACTGATACAGCTTGGTAAACATGAAATTAAGCTCAAGCTGAGTTAAAGCCCAGACATACGAGGTGAAGATTGATGAAATTTCAAACACTTCATGTTGCTATTTCTACAAGTTTATGGCTGGCATAGGATACAGTAATATGGTAATGCCAATCAATAACAATGTTGATGGTACCCCACTCCACCGAGGCAAAGCAGATACATTAACCCATTGACTACCGGCTACTAACTT